ATATTTGGTGGCAACAGCTTGAAAAGTGATTCGCCGTTTATAGTGAAACGCCACAAAATGCCGTTTTGAGACCAATAGCCCTTCTGGGCTACTGACCTTTGGGCTAAAAAAAATTAAGAGAAATCAAGTAAAATACCTAATTTATCATAAAATTAGCAACACTTTTGAAGATCCTCTAAAAATTTATCAAATGTACAATACATATCTTTTTATAACGCAATCTAATATCTTCGGAAATGACATATAACATAATAATGTTAATAAATGACATGTAACATATAACAAAGATGAAGAAATATATAGTGAATTTTAGAGGCTAAAAATTCATTCTAATTCCATTCAAGAGAAAATTATAGTTATTACATTCTAAACTGAAAATACGTAAATTCAAGGAAATTAATTTATAAAATAAACACAAAAGACATGAAATGAAAATTTTTGCATAGAATTTTGTTGAAGGTAGGAAGGTCTCATTAAATAGAAAGAACTTTATGTGTTACTAAAACTAGCTCGTATTCACATTACACATTAGGAAGTATAAGATTTTTATATCCATTGCAAAATATTGTAATATGTATACTTAAATAGTTAACAAAACATCCTTATTCATTCAAAATAGTTCCTAAAAATATTTATAATGAGTTTATATAAGCAATAAAGGTAAAATGTAACAACTTATTTCTTTACTTTTCATTAACAATTCCTGACATTCAGTAGCAATTAACTTTCAAAACCGACCTGCATTTATTATTGAAATATATTATGTTATATTGTTGTCACTGTACCCTGAAAAAAGATTTTAATCATTAATACTTACCGTTTTATATAAAACTGCCACCAAGCATCGCCATTTAGCCTCATATATGGATATGCGTGACGTAACAGCACGCTTATTATATCTATGCTTTCAGCCAATCAGCGGCTGAGTGGTAAAAGCCGCTGAATACTGGTAGTTTGACCTGGGTTTGGTTTCGGTTGAACAGGCAAGCAGCATGGGCGTTTCCATGGCTTTAAAATAAATTCTTCCAAAAATAAACACTTTCGACATATTATACTTTTTATTATTAAAAAGGCAAGAAATGGGCTGAGGCTCAAAAAGAGATTTGCGAAATTTAAGATGTTTATTGCTTAATAGAAATGCATGCGTCAGAATAGGTTTAAAACATTTCGCTCTGGATATTGTTCACTTGAAGATGACTAACGTTCTGGCCGACCTTCTGAAGTGATGATGACAAAATTAAGGTCATAATTGAGTCGAATAGTCATATAAATGGGCGGAAGATTGCAAAAATGTTAGCTGTATCACATACAACAATTGAAAATCACATTAGGTGTCTTGGACTCATTAAAAAGCTCCATATATGAGTTCCGCATGAATTGAAAGAAATTCACTTCACACATCAAATCAATATTTGCAACCTCTTTTTGAAAAGAATTATCACTGGCGATGAAAAATGGATCGTCTACAATAACATTAAACGAAAAAAAAATACGGTTCAAGCATGATGAATCAAAAAAATATCACGCTGCCAATTTGGTGGAATTACAAAGATGCTGTGTATTTTGAGTTGCTTCAAAGTATATTATCAACTCAGATGTTTACTGCCAACAACTTGTGAAAGTGGAGGAAGCAATCAAAGAGGAAAGATCAAAGATGGCAAATTGCAAAAGAACAGTGTTCCAACCACGACTATGGGGGCGAGATTTAAAACATCTTTAGCTACACATACAAAGTTATTGGAGCTTGGTTGGTAGTAACTTTGCGTTTCCCATATAGCCCCGAACTTGCACCAACGGATTATCATTTATTTCGAAGTTGACAAAACGTCTTAAATGGTAAAAATTTCAGTAATAACGATGACCTGAAATCGCACTTGCTTGAGTTCTTTTGTTGGTAAAGATCAGAAGTTCTGTGAGCGCAGAATCTTGAAGTGACCTGAAAGAACGCAAAACGTCTTCGAACAGAATGAAAGATAGACTTATGTGTATTTATTACGTGACAGTAGATCCATTATGTTCCTTTTTTGCATTGAAAAAATTGGGTAGTTAATTAAATTTAGTTTCAAGTTAACGCTGAAAGAACGAAATTACTTTTTTGACAACTCGATATCATAAAAAGAATTGTGTGTATCAATGAATACAACATGTTCAGCTGAATATAACCGCAAAACAGAAATAGATTGGAACAATTACCACTGGAAAGTTCGTATTTACAACATTCTAAACGGAGTTTTCGGTAAACCTGGAGACTTAAAAAAGTAATAGAAATCGACTAAAGTTTTTTTTCGAAGTTCAAAAAGGATGCGGGTCAGTTACTGATTGTTTATTGAATAAAGAGGCTTTATTTCCTTCAGAATTCCACAGAAATAATTGGCGCAACTTTGGCAGGATCTCTGCCAATTTTCAACTTTCGATAGTAGCCAACTTCAGAGCTCGACAAGATTATAAGTACCCAATAATTGATTTGACAGATATGAATGGTTTAGTAGTAGTGGCAAAGAACACTAGGGCTATCTGTCTAAGGGGAGGGATGCCTTCGTGGAGATCTTTCTAAGAGAAACTGGCTCGTATACACGTTACACATGGGGAAATCCACTGAAACACCCATGCATCCAGCTCGTTTGCCTGCTATTAAATCGACGTTATAACTACCAGTGTTCAACTATTGTACCGTTCGGCCGCTAATAGGCCTGCAATGGTTTATTCTTTCGGTACTATTTGAGGACCGTAAAAAATCGCCAAACTATTGTTGATGCCAGTGCTGCGAAAAATAATTGCGGCAACCCTAACGAGAGATAATAACGAGAGAAGTATAATAGATCTTTAGATATAACTATCTAAGGCTTGTTTTAATTATATGGAAGTTATTATATATACATTTTTTTATTTATTTATAATAAAAAAACTGAACGGAAGCATAAGAGTAACAATTTCAGATCATTATTATAATTTAATAAAAAAAGGCTAAACATAACTGAATGGATTCCTGCTCGCTATTTCGCTATCGAGTTATGCTAAGCAGTTTTCATCTCGTTGGTTGTTCAAACATAATTTTCTATAATGAATGATGCCTTTTCTTTGAAAAATATTCTATTGCAGACTAATCTATTTTGTCACTGGGCAATTCCCAAATTGTTAAATCCACAGCGTTATCAAAAAAGGATTTAAACATTAAACTAGTATTTCAATGGCGTCTTAATAAATATAGAACTATCCTTACTTACGCAATCTGAAATCAGCGTATAAGCTAGATTTGGCCCCCTGTTAAATGGGCGCGTTTGCTAGATTTGGCGCTTTTGCGCATACATTTTCGCTGTAATTTTTTTACGGTCCTCAAAACGGAATAGTACCATTCTTTCAAATCATGAGAGAAATCTAGCCTTATGACTTTAAATTTCAGTTTTATGGTTGAGCAATGAATTAATTTTTCAAATATTTCATAGGGATACATTTTAAATGCTATATTTCTTTGTATAATTTATTGCCAGATAATAATTCTCCATAAAATGTTATTTCGGGAGATAACCATTCTTTCCGCGGATTCAGTTTCTGAATTAAATGTACCATACATTTAAAATTCTTAAGATGATTCAATTTCACTGACCGTTTTCCAAGTACGAAGCACAGCTGCAGCAAAAAGTCCGAATATCTTTCAAAAACTAGTCTTTTAATTGAATTTGTGAGTTTTCTAAAGCATATATAAAAAAAATGTTACTATTTGATTACTGAATATAATTTTAATTCCACAGAATCATCTTCCTGGTGAAACTAAATTTTCATATGAGCTATATTTACAAAATCTGGGAATATTTATAGAATGTGGGCCATGTTTTGGTACACTGCATTGAAATTCCCGATGTCCCTCAGAATCTGAGACACCTGGTGGCTTTATTTTAAGCTTTAACAAATCGTTTTTACTTCCTTGTACAAAGCAAAGGAAGTAATGTAATCGTGAAAAATTTCAGGTATCATATTTCATTGAAAACGAATTTTGAATTCTCGAATTTTTGTTTTTGCGCGAGACAAAGAAAGGACCCTTTTCCCAAAACGCAGTGTAAAATAGATTTAAAAAGGATACAGAGATTTTTTTTTTGGACGTCTGTACATGCATGTGTTGAAGTTATCTCACATACCTCAAAAACGAGTAGCCGTAGAACATTGAAATTTTATATATGGAACTGCTGTAACATGTAGTTGTGCATCTCCCTTCTCTTTCTTTTTCCATTTCCCTTTTTTGGTTGCATAAGCGAATATATATATAATATATATATATATTGCTACTCTGTTACCCTGCTCGGTAAGCTCAGTTTTTATTCTTATATATTGGTAAACTGTGCATTTCTTGCTTTAAAAGTGATTGAATTATGATATACTTATGTTCCAGATAAGGTTTTTATGCTTTTAGTTTTAGCCTTAATCTTCATATGATAGTCGTAGAATTATCAGCAATTTAAAAGTTTTAAGTGGCGCTAAGCCTAACGAGGCCGCCATTTGTTTACATTTGCAACTCTTATTATATTAGTGAATTAACTCCGCTGAATGCAGTGTAATTTCACCCAGTGGAACCAATAGTTAACTTTCAATTTTATGCAATGAAAATTTTGTCTTCCTGCTCGCTATCCCGATTGCTCGTTTTTGTGCAAAAATTTTAATTGTAAAAATTTTTTTAACTGTTTTTAAATGTATTTGGTGTTTCAGATTTTTCCGTAATTTACAATTTTTAATGAAGATGTTTTGAATTTTTACGTATTTTTGCCTTACTGCGAAGTGAAAACTGAATTAATTGAATTAGAAATATATCTCTAATAAAATTCGAGAGAATAAGTGCAGCAAAAAAATGCGTGTAATTTAATTGGCCGTAAAAGAAAGTCATGCGGTGTCGACATCAGATACTTTGAACTGCAACTTGTATAAATGAAATCAAACATTTCCAATGGCCGTTTACTATACAATTAATATACATCAGCTGCTGAAGATTCTTAATTTGCTATATTTTTTAGGTGGTTGTCCAACGGATTTCCCAATAAGAGTTGGCACAAAATGCTACCGTTTCCAGACAGACATTTATCCAAATAAAGATGCAAAAGACGCCTGTCAGCAGTTTGGTGGGAAAATGGCAGTGATTGAAAAAAAAGAAGTTCCCCAAAAAATACAGGATGCAATCACGTCTTTTGCAGCTGAAAAATTATCATCTGCTTACTTCTGGATTGGACTCGAAATGAAAGATTTGTCAAGAAGTAAACCTTTAGATGATAGGGAGTAAGTAAAACACCTTTAACCTCATATTATTTCTTTCACAATTACTTGATAGAGATTTCCAGAACTCGCTAAATCAGTACATTGTATATAACGTTCTGCTTCCGTATTGTACAAGATCATCTTTCGAAACATTTCTTGTATTTTCAGCCATACTTTCGGGTCTGAGATTCGCTGCAAATCATATATATATATATATATACACCATTTAATTGCTAGTTTAATTGACATTAAAAATCAAGCTGTTTCATCGGTACACTGCGCAAAAAAAAAGGGGGGGACAGTTCTATATCTCCCGTTCTACTGAGCCGATTGACGAAATTCAAATTGCGTTTTCATGTCTCGAAAGCGTAGCTTAAGATATATATTAAATTTATGTATATGTAGTGTTCTAATATAGGTATTTTGACGCAAAATCGGAAATTTTCTGAAATGGCATGCCATTTTTTTTTTCCATATTTCGATTCTACCACTGAAATTATGCCTACATATTAAATTTTGTATAGTTCAGTGCGAAATTTAAGGAGAACTTCAATCATTTACATTGGCACATTTTTTTCAGTCTTTTCAGTTTGCATCTTTGGAAATTTTGTATAAAAAACTCTAATTTTTTTTGGAGGTATGCCTAGAACTACATCTACTTTAAGATGCTGGTACAAATTTTCTAGATTATAATTCAAAATATTTTTCGAAAAATTTTTATTTAAAAATAAATTTTTTTTAATAAATCATAAAAAGTGTGCGAATTATATTTGGATTAAGCCTAAATTCCGAATTTCCTGAAGAAGGAATCAAGTAAGTTTAATAAAAAAAAGAGATATTAATAAATATATATCAAATTCAATTAACAATGAGAAGCTAAACTAGTCCGATTTGTGTCAAAATACCTATAGTAGAATAATGCTATGTATGTATACATATATATATATATCCTATAAATCTAATATATATACTAAGTCGCGCTTTCGAGACATGAGAAACGCAATTTGAATTTTGTTAATCGGCCCAGTAGAACGGGAGATATAGAACTGTACCATTTTTTTTTTCCCGCAATGCATACATATAATTACGCTGACCTAACTCTGCAGTTCCGCCTCAGTTTTGATCTCTCATCCCCTACTACCAAACCACTGAAGATGACATTCGGCTAGCCAGTATTTTGGGTGTCCCTTTGTTGCACAAATGCTATACACTGAAAAGCACTCTTGTCTTCCCCAGGATTCGACCACAGACCCATCGGTATGGGAACAGTACCATTAACCGCTATGCCGATCAGGACAGCGAGTGTGCTTTAATACAATAATACTTCTAATGTAATCTAAGTTTCAAATCTACTTTCAAAGTAAAACAAATTTGAGAAAACTGCTCTTAAAATGAATTTATTAAAAAGATACAAACGAGAATTAGTAAATGAAGTATATAATTAAAACTTCTGGAATCATGAAGTTCATTTTCTCAATATAATTTGACATATAATATAATTTTCCAAACGCGCTTTAAATCGGATCAAATATAGATGTGAAAGGATTATTTCCAGAATTCACTTAAACATTAAACATGGAACGCTAACAAATCGAAACTTCGGAGTCTCATAATATAAATACTCATAATGCTTGTTCTATAAAGGCTACCGTTTTATATCTTTATTAATCGTGTTATGCTCGAACGGATGCTTAATATCTCATTGGATTATTTACTACACAGATACATTTTCATTCAATCTTAATATTATTTACATACACTGTAGAAGAGCGTAGAAAAATGTTTCTCTCAATAGCAGTTATCGGATCCGATAAGATACACATCTTGTACCGAACAAGTGGATTCGCTCAAGTAGATTTTTGGAAGAGAAACAGGTCTTATGTTTTTATGTTCCTTATAGCTTTCAGTATGTTGTTTCAATTATTTTACAGGCAATTGCAGCGACTTGATGATGTTGCTGTCATATGTAAAGTAGCTTGTGTTCAGATAAATTCATTTTATATTATACATGAAGCCTGGACTAGTAATGCCTTAGCGTCCTGGTGTGCAAAACTGTTATAGTTTGAGAAGTTTCCAAATAAACTTATTTCCATTTTCATCAGTTTTCGTGAACTCGCACTCGTAGCAATTTTTACAGTGTCGTAAATTTGAAATTTACATGCTTTCTAAAATTCTGGGAAACATTTTTACGAAACAAACTGTCCTTTCAATCGCTTTATCTTTTTTATCTTTTGTTTTTATCCTTTATTTTTATCTTTTTATCATTTGCTCTTTATCTTTTGCTGTTGCCTATCTGAAACGAAGTTAGCAGCTGTCATTCTTTGGGAATGATCGGAAATAACTTTTTTTGGTCTGCTTTGATTTTAGGTAGGTTTTTTTTCTTACTGATTAGGATATCTCTGTCGAAGATAGCAGACGAATTTTGGAATACAATCGATCAGAATTTTTTTGCACAAATATTTCTCAAATCTTTCTGTTATCCTTATGTTCTGTTAATCTGTTAATCTCATGTTCTTTGGAAGCATAACATGTACGTAAGATTTGAAGTCTTAATATCTTATGTTATCCTTATGTTCTGTTAATCTGTTAATCTCATGTTCTTTGGAAGCATAACATGTACGTAAGATTTGAAGTCTTAATATCTTATAAGTATCACAGAGACAGGGAAAAAAGAAAGTAAAGCACCCTTTTATTTGATTCAAGCAGAAGTTAACAGAAGGCACCACTGAGGCTTACAAAATACAGTAAGCAGTTATGGCTTAAATTTAAAATATTAAAATTGATTTACCTAAATACAGGTTGACTGTGAGCTAAAGGTCGGCGTGACAAGCCTGGAAATGAGGAAGATAGGAAAGCACATTAACATAAAATGATGGTTAAAAACTAAATGTAAACTCTAGATCTTTTTATATTTTAATTTCACTTAAAAATAAAGTTTGGTAACAGTAGGTGTTATTTTTATTTAAGAAGAGAACAGAAATATTTGTAGCATTTTTTTAATTAAAATATTTTTTTTAAATAAAATCTATAAAATTTCAAAATTTATTTTTAAAAAATTTAATAAATTCTAATACTTTTGTAAAAAAAAATGTAAATAAAATTTTGCAATCTGCACAATTATTATTAAATAAATAACAGTAAAGATTTAATTTTATGAATTGACAGCCGTAGGTGTTTTTTTTTTTTATTATTATTATTAAGAAAAGAGCAGAAACAGTTGCACTTTTTTTTTATTTTAAAAATTTTTTATCGATAAAATTCACTATGAACTTTTAGACTATATAATCTGAAATTTACAGAGCGCATGTTAAATTTTTTTGCTGTCAGCGTCCTTAGCGCAAGAAAACAATTTATACAAATGCTATTTTGTAATACAAAAGCATGAAAAAAAATTATATTTAAATTATACCTATAAAGACGTATGCCACAAGTTAAAAATATGTTTGTTTGATTAATTTTAGGTGTTACCCCATTAGAATTATGCTTTATAACATACGAAATTGCAACTGTAAATACGTAAAATCAGAGCTAATGCAATGCAGTGACGTCAGACAACATCCTGTTAACACCAACCCCCCCCCACACACACACAATAACTGTTTTGGCCTGGAGTCAGTCAGAGGAATAAAATCTTAATTCTGCAAGAAATGCAGTTCTGTACCAAGTTGAGGGGCATATACAATCTAACGACTATCCTCTCAATAGATGGCGCCACCACAGCAACGTTTTATTTAATCCTTCAAATTTCATTGTTATTTGTTTCTTCATCCATTGAACTTATTTGTCCATCCTTTTTTTACTCAAATATTTATTACTAATCACCATCAAAGGAAGTTAGAAGCATAATATTATGCTGTTCTGTAATTTATTTGAAATTTACATGTTTTCTAAAATGCTGGGAATAATTTTTACGAAACAAGTTCGAACTATCTACGAAACTCCATGCTTTAATTTTTTTCTTTGTCTGCGCTGCTATGATAGTATATAATTTTATATATTATATTCTACCTAGCTGGACTTTTCACTATGATGAGGAGAAAATTATGCAGAAGAATTATAAATACTGGGCTGAGCCTCCAGCCGATGGAAGCCTAATATGCGCAGGAGTAAATGCATCTTGGAATTTCAATATTCAAGCGGTGGATTGTGGAGGACCGAGACTTCCAGTAATATGCATGAGAAAGCCGGGTTCAGGTTTGCATTTCATATTTTTCCTCTATTTTATTTAGTTATTGTAGAAGATGCGATGTATCTTAGTAAATTTCATTTTAAAATCCTCACACTTTCCTGCCAAGTCATGTCATTTCAGTCATGTCAAGCCATTTCAGCACCTTTCTTATCAGTGTAAGGAGTATTTAACCCTTTCTGGCACGCTTCCTATTAAAGTTGGAGTTTTGATTTAAAAAAAAAAAAAGGTAGGCAGTCTAATTAGGCCTAGAAGAGTACACAAGTTAAATTTTGTAAAGATAGCACTTATCTTTTAATTCTGTGGGTGTGCCCAAAGTGGGCACATGACTGAATAGAGCTTCGAAAAGAGTGCTGAAACGAGCATTGGAGCAATGTTGTCAATGAACTGACCGATGAGATGTGGATAAACAAAGAATGCAGACTCTCAGTTGTCCCAGATTATTGGTGAGCCCGGTCTGGGCACACCTAGGGTTGTCCGTTCGATTTTAGGCAAGATTTCAAGGTAAAAATTTAAAACTAATATAAAATAAGGAAATTAGCATACAGCCAAAAAATAACATAGAAATTTCTTTTCAAACAATTCCTTTTATACCCTAAAAAAAAAAAAAAAATCTGGAAGATTTCTTTGAAAAATGAGGGTCTTAAAAAAGTAAACATGGCTAAAATATACGAACTAGTTTGTGTTCAGCTGCCATCTACTATAAACAAAGAAGGTTCAGAGTAACCTATAGTATCCTATAAATCCTTTTTCATTCAGTGTTTCTGTGCGTACAGAACGAAATTTTTAGGTGTGTCCAGACCGGACACACTGTGCCGCAAAAGGTTAACGTTGCTTCAGCACCATCTGAATTATTTTATATGGAAATCGATTAGCACGTTATTGTGCTTTCTATGTTATTTTTTTTTCCTATTTGTCTTTGAGAAAACTCTTAAAACTGAAATCTAAATATATTAATAGGTTTTTTGTAACTAAATTTGTACTTTAGATTTTTGGATGCAAAACTAGACATTTTATTTTGCAAACATTTATTATTAATTAAACTGATTCTATTTTTATTACACCTGTCTTGTCTTCTTAGATTTAGAAAAGTAAGATTAATGAGGAAGAATGCGATCTACCGCTTCCAGTTAGTTATTTAGTTCTCAGATGGCGCCACTAAAACGCTTTTTTTTTTTTAAATATGAAAATAAGCAAGTAGTTAAGAACACATAAATGAAAATGATTCCATTAGTTAATTTAATAACCTAGTTAATTTTTTATTCCATCCAAATAGAATTTCTTCCAACTTTTAAAAACAAAAGCAGGAGGTATATGAACTGTTCAGCCGTATATACATTACGTATGTATGAATGGCTAAAAATAGTCACCACTTTTTTTGAAACCACTTTTATTCTTAGTGTTATTAGTGAAATTTTCAAAATCTCTTATAACACTAACATATAAAGAACGCAATAACAATAAATTGATATCATAATATAACGCCATAAAACTTCGACGTGGTGCAGTAATAATATGCTATTGATTCGTCAAAACAGAACAATAATGCAGCCTAATATTTTGCTGTGCGAGTTAATTAATACATGCTGTATTACTTGTTGTGAGATAATATTAAAAATGTTCGTGCTAGAAACTAAATTACGCGAACAGTGAATCAGTTATTAACGCAAGAGTAAGGTAATGTGTTCTAACGTTGATACTATTTCTGTACAACAACAAGATATAAGGGCACTGATTCAAAAATGTAATCATGAAAGTATAGATCGCAGACGGGGCCAAACGTCCTTAGACTAAGTAAGGTGTACTGAAGTGGTATACCTCCGCAAGCTGCTGAGTGGATGGTTTGGATTATGAAAATACGGCTATTTATTAATTAAGCCTCAAAGGCTATCTGCCTAAGAGAAGGGATGCCTTCGTGGAGGACTTTACAAAAGAAACTGGCTCGTATACACGTGCACATGTTGCTGGCGAGTTGATAATAATTGAGTACTAATAATGCGGCCCAAGAGTTCGAATTCCTGCAAACTGGCTGATTGCATAAGCGTTTATTTATGCTTAACATAAACGCGTGCCACTTCCTTTAAAAAAAAATCCTCCACGAAGACATAACTTCTCTTAGACTGAGAATACTCAAGTGCTGTTCTATTATCGAGCGAACGAGCAAATAAACGATAGATGGGATACATGAATAAGCAAACAGGCTGTTGAAGTTTTGGTATTAGGAATAAAGAATATTTTTGAAATTAATACTTAACTTATACTAGCAAAATTTTCTTCTGTCTGCACTGAATCTTTTTAGAAACTCTCTATTTGATACACCTTACCTGAAAATACAGAAAAATTATCATTGGAAACCTGCCCTCTCTAATGATATTAAAGAATCCAGAAAAGAAATTACTAGAAAACTTTTTTTTCATCAAATTTAGATACGTGAAGACTTTAATTTTTTAAAAAAAATTTACATGTTTCAGATTTTAAATTACGTCCAAAGGGGCATTTTTTTAACATTTTGTGTGTTACTTTTATTTATTAAATATCGTGCTCTTCGCACTTAAACCATAAAATTCAGTTCCAAGACCAATATCACAAAATAATTTTAAAATGAGCATGTCTTTAGAACTTCCGATAAGCAGTCTCGCGCGCTGGAGATAAAAATGTTTTTCGTGAAACGTTGCCATTGTTCGCTTTGAAATCCTTGATTTTGTTAATCAAAAATTCGTTAAAGTTTTACAAATTATGAAATCGATAAGAAATCAAATTCCAAATTTCAAATTTGGGCTTCCAGATGCCCATATTCGCAGCAGGAATACGTTATTCAAAATTTGATGTCTCTAAGTTCCGTTGTTTTATCATAGTGCGAGAAACATACATACATTTATGCATAATCTTCATTATTTAATTTCTTTAAATATAATACAGAGCGATAATATTTGGTGGCAACAATTTGAAAAGGGAAACAACGTTTGTAGTGAATCAACGCAAAATGCAAAAACGAAATTAATAGTCCTTCTGGGCAAATTGCCCTTTTGGACTAATAAATATAAATTTAAAGAAAAAAAAAACTGAAGCTTTCATATGTTACATTAAGCCCAAAGGAGCGTTTTCTTTAACGTTTTTGTCTGTTACTTTTATTTATTAAATATCATGTTCTTCACATTTCAACCATAAAATTCAATTCAACGGCAATATCGTAAAATAATTTAAAACGAGCATAACTTTAGAATTTATGATACAGAGTCACGCGCGCTGGAGAAAGAAATGTTTTTTCCCTCCGCACAGTGTTGCCATTGCTCGCTTTGAAATCTCTCAGTTTGTTAATCAAAAATTCGTTAAAGTTTTACAAATTATGAAATAAATAATAAAGCAAATTCCAGTTTTGGGCTTACAGACGCCCATATTCTGGTGGAAATGTCCGTCATTCAAAATCTGATAATTTGATAATCTGATAATCTGAAATGTACGTCATTCAAAATCTGATAATGATTTCGCATTGTTTTATCACTATGCGAGAAACATACGTACATACATTTCTGCAGATTCTTCATTACTTAATTTCATTAAATATAGTACAGGGCTCTAATATTTGGTGGCAACAATTTGGAAAGTGAACAGACATTTTCAACGCAAAAGGCCAAAATGAAATTAATAGCCCTTCTGTACTTCGGCCCTTTGGTTTAACAAGGAAAGGTTTGAACCAGAAATGCTACCATAAACACAAAACGTTAAATATAAGCTTCAAAAAAGTATTTTGAATTCCACACAAAGAGAAATAAAAGCTGCTATTAGTTCTCTTACTTTATTCGGGAAGATGGTTATTAACAGAAGAAAACATCTCACAGGAATTAACAAAATTTTGTATTTATTTTGCGAAACAATGGTGAATAATGAAAATACTCCTATGGGTATGTGAAACACTATAATAGATGAGGCAAAAGCAAATAATACTACAAGATGGTAGAATTACAAACTCAATAAAAGTAAGCAAGAAACTCATCTCGAGTTAAGGAAGCTCATTAAAACGCTATCAAATCAAAATAAAAATCAAAAATTCGTTAAAATTTTACAAAATATGAAATAGCTGATAAAATAAATTTCAACTTTGGGCTTCCAGATGTCCATATTCGAGTGGAGGACTTCGTTATTCAAAATTTGATGTCTCTAGGTACCGTTGTTATTTCAAAATGCGAGAAACAACATATGTTCGTGCAGATTCTTCATTATTTAATTTCTTTAAATATAACGCAGGGCGGTAATATTTGGTGGCAACAATTTGAAAAGTGATTCAGGCTTTTATAGTGAACCGACGCAAAATGCCAAAACGAAATTAATAGCCCTTCTGGGATAACGTCCCTTTGGGCTAAAAATGGAAATCATTAAAATAAAAGACGCACACACACACACACACACACACACACACACAAAAAAAAAAAAAAAAAAAAAAAAAAAAAGAAATGAAATAAATTTTAATTTAATTTTTTTCATATCCGTACAAAGCATAGTGGACAGCGTTAGTGGAAAGTAATGAGGAAGAGGGGAAAAATATGTTGTTGTTTGGATGAGAACCTCTTCGCCATCGTCTGTTGGTTAATATTTGGAGTGCGGAAGAAACTGCGTTTGTTTGAGAGGTGCAAGTGCCTTTAGTACCACACAGATGACAGTACGACTTTTCTCAATTCCAAACCCAATTTTGGTGGAGAACACATCGGGGGGGATGGGTTTGAGGGTCTCCCATCCCTCTTCCTTTACCATCAGCCTCTCTAGAGGACTTTCGGCTTGCCATATATTATTTAGAGTGCCCCCGTGCCACAAAGACACTATACATTTACAAACATCCATGGCTTCTCTGGGATTCGAACCCTGGTTCTTCGGCACCGCAGAAGCATCACATACCGCAAGCTCCCTGCCACCCTGCTAAAAATAACCTTGTGGACACTATCTACTTTAACAGAACACAGGACTTGGGATTTACAACTGGTGTTTTCACTGATGGCTCTAAACCTCCAGGGGGCACGGGAAGCGGATTCTGTATACTTTCTGGAGGAGCTTTAACGTATGAGTGGAAAAGAAAGCTCGCTTCTGAAAACTCTGTCTTTCAGGCGGAGCTTATAGCAATCAGAGCAACTCTTCTCCACCTGAAGAATAATCCCACAGTGCCCAATATCATCTACACAGACTCAGCCTCAAGGCCTCGCTGCGATAGCTGGAATTCGTTCTCGCAGTCCTATCGTCAGCAGCATTAGAGACATTCTAACACACATGCCTGCTTCGCAAAGACCCTCACTCATCTGGGTGCCCGCTCCTACGGGAATAGAAGGAAATGAGAGAGCAGATGTTTTCGGAAAGGAAGCAGCGGATTCATCCACTTTGCGAGAAGTCCCGACCCTTAGGCCAGTCTCGGACCTAAAGAGTCGGACATTCCATCAGCTCCTAAGAATATGGCAAGAACGTTGGGATCAAGCCTCCACAGGGAAACGCTTTTACACATTCCCAAGATCAAGACAACAATCCAAACTAATAGCAATTACATGACGTATTTCCTCACTGGTCATGGGCCCTTTCCTTCATACCTCTGCCGCTTTGGCTTGAGAGAGAATGGTAACTGCGAATGTGGGGAGGAGGGTCATCCAGATCATTTTGTGTTCTCCTGCTCACACACAGCAGTTAACAGCCTCAAGCAACCAGGAGCCAGATTCTGTCCAAATTGGTTCCAGAATCTACAAAGTAACAGAGTTGCCCAGCAGAAACTGAAAACAATAATTGACTACTGTACTAGGAATTACTCTTCTGACACTGGAAGATAGTAGTCATATAAGTCTATATAAGCTAGTTCAATATGTCAGCAACAGAGTATGTGATATGTATGTTCAATATGTAATTTTTGTATTTATGCTGTGCCAGGTTCTCATACATAAAGTTCGTACTGTATCTGAATGCTGTAATGTATCTGTACATGTTTATATCTTTTAATTATGGTACCTAATTTATGCTAAGGATCACGCGTACCTCAATGGTATGCTTCTTGTAAACTTTAACTATCATGATAACGTATATGTATGGGTGTATATATCAATATGAGTGAGAGTATGTGTACTTTTATTTGCTTCGGAATATCTATGTATGTAAGTGTGTATATATCTCTGTATATGAGTTTGTATTTATATGTATATACATATATTTTGATGGTACTCTTCTTCAAGTGCCTTGAATGCAAATGTATATATTTCTTTGTACATTGTTGTACTCTTCTTCAATTGCCTTGTAGGCACATGTATATCTCTTTTTTGCATTTTATAAATGTCGTCTACTCAGGGTAGCTAGTGGTTGACTCCCGCCGAGTTGGTAACCAATTCTGCATGAATATAGCTATACCTGGGTCAGAAGCCAACTGAACGGTTTACCTCCTATATCCACTATACCGTCTGGGCGGCTACTAAATTCGTTTACTGCTGCTTTAATCTACTGTAAATACTCGACCAAAACCCTTTACATCTGCAACGCACACTGTCCTGCGTTGCCTCATTATGCAATACATTTTAAATAACCCTTTTTTATATGACAATCATGCTTAAATATATTTTTAATTGATATGCTTATAGTAATCCATACAGGATTAGAATAAAATTCTTTCTTTTAACATTATATTCCAGACTGCAAAGATGACTTAAAGCCTTACTTTGAGTATGGTCCCTACTGCTTAGCTGCCATTAATGGAGCTTTGGAATACAACAAAATTGAAGGAACCTGTCATCCAGATAAAGTTGCACCCATTAAAGATGATGACATGAAGAAGTATGTTAAGCTAGCTGCGAGGAATTCATTTCTTGGTGGTGCAGTGTACATTGACTTTTGGGACTATGGAAAAAGTAATTTCTTCTCCGATGGTGCGGTAGCTGCTCCAAAAGAGTTGTGGGACGAGGGTGAACCGAGAGAAGGCTACAAATGCTCAGGTTTGGGAATAACTCCGGATGGCACCCTTAAACTTAGAACAATGAGCTGCGACTTCTATTCAACTTCTTTGTGTGAACTCATGAGTGCCGATAACGACAAGGAAGGTATGTATTAATTTGCTCCGCATTTTAATTTTTACTTGGTTTATCCGTACTGTAAATCAAAAAGCAATAAGCACATTACCCTATCCAAACAAAATTATGTTTATTGATATTACAACAGCTGCAAAGAGATAATTACGCTAAATATAGTTACTTTTTAGAAGAATAGATGATGAAGCATGAAGATTAATAAATACCGTATACTCCGTCGTATAAAACGCACTTTCTGTTTCATCTTCACCATCATTGTTACTCTGATCCAAAAATAAATGATTATCTCCCTTTCCGTCTTTCTCCAACACCAAACATCCCTACTGCAACACGATGTCCATTTTCTTTCGAAAACTGAAGGACTTCCCATTTGAAACCAGGACTGTATTGTTTCGTTTGGCAGAAGCCATATTTACTACTGAAAGGAACACTAGATCAACTATATTTCAACTAAAACCTTCGATGTGCACTTCGTAATCATGGCTTCACTTCAAATGATTACCGAAAGAGAAAACATCCGAATCTTAATCCGCGAATTCTTTCGGGTTGAGAGTGCATTATTACTCTAAATTATATCGCCCTTTTCTCAAAACCCTACAATAGCATTCTTTTGGACACTTGCATTAAATACAATTCACCCTCTTTGCAGAAATATTTATTCTCTCAAGCATTTAACTCACACACATATAGTTACCCTTATCGCTTGTCAGTTCGGTATGTTATTGCTCGAAATACTAGGAAAAACCTTTGAAAAAGTGACCTCGAAAGATAACATCATTGCACATGTATCTTTTAGGTTTCTTCGTGAAGAATTGGGGGCGCGTTATACGGCGAATATACTTAAAAATTAAAAACTCTAGCTTGAAATTATAGATTCGCGTTATACGCCGGAAAATAGAGTAATTTATCAGAGGAATGAATGCATGAAGATTAAATAAATAATTTATCGAAAGGAAGTATAATTAAGGCAAGAGGTCTTTTGAACTTAAGTTGCTACAAGATTCATGCAACATTTTAAAATCTTAAACAAACACAGTAAAATTCTCAGACTTTTTTCATGCTGATCATGTGATCGAATGCTTTCGTATATCTCATTAAATACTTCATTTCATTTCATATTTTTAAAGTATGTTGCTGAAGTTAGCTTCACTTACTCAATTCATTTTCTGAAAACAAATTTTTTACCTCTAAAATTCCCTTTTCTTTCCCTTTTCGTATAAATTTATGTTAAATGGAAAACATCAATCCTTAACTTTTAGAATTCTGATGTTCTTTGATATTTCTAGTATGCAGATTAATATTGTATAGAGATAAGCTAGTGATGGTTTAGGTAAAGGTGAATTAAATTTTCACGAAGTCAATTAAAATGCAAATAAAGTATAAGCAGCGTAACTGGAACTAAACGAAATAAAACTAAACCAATAAATTATACAGCAGAATGAAACATATTTTTTTATTATTTTACGAAACCGTGCTGAGAAAATTTTAAATCACTAAGCATAGTTTTATAATTTCTAGTAGCTGTTATTCAAAATTACACCTTAATCAAATCCTTACTAATTTCGAAAACAATGCAAAGCACAATCAGATAAAACCAAATATTATTTATGGAAAGCTGGTGTCTATAGCTGATGTATCAAAGCAACACAAGTAGAAGAATTGCACCTGGCAGCTCAGTAGCAATATAATAATGAAAATTTCTTGGGTTGTTGGAAATGCTTAGTGCGTGCTGAATATAACGAAATTATGACAACCAAGGAATAATACTACATAATTTCTCCACCTGTAAACATTAAATCCAAGGGTTATGGAAGTAAAATTTCATCTAAAAGGATGAGTTTCCACTTCTCTGCAGATTAAAAGTTCTGCCAGTTCCAGTTGAATCCGATTTCGGGTTGGATGTGCATTGGAAGAATGTAAGCCAAGGTAAAAAGTATCGTTTTGGTATTGTTCCCGTCACCGCAATGGCGGGCACTTGGCCAAGTTAGGCTTGGCCACTACTAACACCGGAAATGGTAGCTACTTTATTGTGGAAGCATCTTATAGGTGGGCCAACGTTACCTCGTATAAGGGAACGGTAACCGACCTATTAGATGCTTTCACAATAAAATGGCTACCACTTCCGGTCTTAGTAGTGGGCAAGCCTAAGTTGGCCAAGTCCTGCCAGCCAATGGGGCGGCGGGAACAATTCCTAAACGATGGAACGGATGGTTGGTGTGAGCCAACTAGTATGTGACCCCGTTAACATCTCAGGAGGTTCTCTTGATAATGGTGGACGTAATGCTAAACTGATTAACCTTTATGGTAAAGGGATAGTGACCACGCCCGCCCCGTTCCATATCCTTATGAAAGAACGGGGAGTTACAGTCTTGCCATCTTCAGGAATCAAACCCGGACCCTTCGGTACCACAGCAGGCTCTGTTAACCACTATGTCGTCTGGGCGACGGAATTATAATCAAGCAAATACCACTTATTCATAGAATTGGGTGGAATTTTAATTTTCAGGATCAAACTCTTTACGGTTGGAGGTTTGAACTGAAACTTTGAGAAAGGTATCAAGGACTTTTATCCAGCTATAGACTAAAAAGGTAAGCCTACATTTTAACGAGTCTGAGTTCTGATTTTTGACAAGTAGGGTTTTGTATTGATATAAATACACAGTGCTGAATATGCAAATACTCGTAGAGACGAGGAACAGTACTACTTAAGCCCCCCAACGCATCCAATATAGTACATTATAAAATGTAATCAGTCACTTAACTATCAACTTTCTCCTCCGTGAGTATAAACTAGTTTCTGTCAACCAAGCGATACGAAAACCTTCGATTCTAGCTGGCACTCAGTTACGTTGAATTTACTGTCATAATAATAAAAACATTATTTTCATGCTTGCAGATAAAGTCTCTGCAAGCCTCTATAGTTATTTGCACAGCTATCTTGAGCGATGTTGTAAGTTAATGTTGTAAATTATCTCCAATAAAGATTATTATTTGTGCCAAATTTTAATTGAGATAGTCTCACAGGTGGCCTCTATAATGATCTTTATGGTAATGAGCCGGATTTTTGCAAGAGACAATCATAACGGTTTTCATTGAACAGTGGCACCAGCTAAATTTTCACCATGGTCAAATTTACTCCTTTTAATGGTGCATAGATGTCTGCATAAGAGTAAAAACAGACACATTGAGCTTTGGTGAAATATGAAAACATTTTAACCAGCTTACCTCTACTTTAGTGTAATAAAATTTGGGTGAATTATGTAAATATTTTTGTTTAGAATTTTTATAATGTCTCACAAACTTCTTAGTCTCTAAAAGCTCAAACAGAACTCTAAAAGCGAACTCTAACCTATAAAGCGAACAAAACTCTAAAAGCGATTGATAATAATGTTACTGTCAGACTTGTATATAACCATCTACACATTGCCACACAGTGTCAGATTTGTGAAAACCATTGTCACCATTGCCAGACGTGTGAATGGTCATCATTGTCAGAATTGTGAAACTTACGTAGGTTGTTCTTACCACTGCAGCATTCTACTTGTCATGGGGGAAGGAAAACCAATTCCAAGAGAAATTCGTATACAAGGGCGTTTTCGATGTTTCAGGAAAATAGATTTGACCCTTTCTCAATGCGGAAGAGTTAATGGCCACAGTAACACATAAGAGTTTAGCAAGGAAGGTAAGGAAGCAGAACAGCAAAAAATGAATCTGTTTAACTTAGGAAAGCCGCGGAAATGCCAACATTACAATCAAGCAAATGATAGCAATGAAGTTACCTTTGATTTCTTCACATGTGAAAAAAGGAATATGATCTGAATTATTACAGTTTTAACACTCTTCCTTCTATGATCAATTATACCGTTAAACCTTAGGCTGAAAACCACAGGAATTAAAATTGAAACAATCTTTATTATAGCTGATTTGCAAAGTAAACTCACTCTGCTTTTGTTACATTTGGTGATTCACATATAACTCTATTCCTTCAAATTTATATTCAATTATCTAAAACATTGAACGTTTAATGAAGCTAACTGGCGTGGATATTGTCACTCTTATGCCCATATCCTGCTTCCTATCTTTTCCTATAGCTATCTATCTATATATTTATCTGCCTGTCTCTCTATCTGTCTACCTGTCTGTCTATCTACCTAGTACCTATCTATCTCCATCTTTCTAGCTATCTATATATGTATATATATATATGATATAAAGTTAGGTAAAAACCTCGTGCAAAACTGCTGAGTTTAATTACAATTACGAAGGCAATAAAAAAATTCCGTAATTAAACTCAAATAATTAATTAATAAGCAAACATGTTGGTTGATAGCCAATAAGTGTTTCAAACTAAAATACCTGAAACTTTTCTCCTATCAAATTTGAAATAACAGCAAACTTCGGACATAATAATAAATTAAAGTTCATTTATTTAAACTGCTTAAAACTTTCCAATTTATTGAAAATGGAAAAAGGCCTTGATTTCATTATTGTTACTCATGGTCGGATAATAATAATAATAATAATAGTTTTCCTGCTGTATTGTTTTGACTGCAATAATTACAAATTACATTTAGAGATAAAAAAGCTAGAACTTTATTTCAACTTTTATAAAATTTCATTTCTCTTGTGTCAATATTACGTGCCATTGCTGGCATTTAAGTTTTCTTTAGAAATGAGAAAAATCTAATCAAATGGTAGTAAGTAAAATACTTTTGATTCATTAACAAATTGCTAAGTTTCTTTATATTCTTAATTAAATTATTGCTAATTATCTTTCATTTCAGGTGATTGAAGTATTAGTTACATAATTTATTATATTATGCAGATTAATATCGAATAAATCTGAAGTTAAATTTGCATGCATTTTGTCTATATTGTGCATTAACCTTCCTTATGCTATATATTGTACATTGGCTCTCCTTACTTTAAATATTCTTTTTAAAATTACAACTATGTATTCGTTCATTCGTGTTATTTTATTTGTTTAAAGCATTCATTTGCACACAATATAATTTCCCAGAGTTTGTAGTATGAAGATGATAAGTGATATTGTGAAGGTCTTTGCATGTGATGTTCGCGTGTATGTGATTAAATGAACAATTTTTTTTTAAATACATGAATAAGCGTGCGATTGAGAAAGTGCGGGTCTTTTAGTATATTTATGTACTTAAAATATTCTTCATTCATATATGTATGTTTACTTTCCTGTATAGTGTGCATATACGTAATAATATGTATGTCTGCGTCAAATATGCTATTTATACGTATCAAACACGCTTACAATTGAAGTAAAATATCATAAAAATTTTTAAAATAAAGTTATGCATAAGTAAAAGAATACGCAAATAAATTTTAAACACGCATTAGCTAAGAATAAAATTTCTATCCAGATTGTGATATAAAGAACTAGAACGCACAAATTCATTAACACCTCACTGTATAAAATACAAGAAAATACTTTCGCGTGTTTGAATATTTGAAAGACTTCTTTTCTTGAAGATTATTTCTAAATAATAGCGTTGTATGTAATTAATACATCTGTAAATTTGTTTCGCGTGTATCTTTAAAATTGCTTCTAGATTACAAACTTGATCTTTAAAAGAATTCTAAATTGATCGATCTTAAATACACAATATCGGCACTATGCCAAAATCATATATCTGTAAAAGCGCTGCTTCGAGATAAATGAGATAATAGGCTTAAATTTAAAAAAATCGAGTCATAACTAACCATCTCTTCCTTTTAGAGTAGTTTAAAATATCGAAAAGTAATATAGAAACTGTGCTGAAGTGAAAAAAGAAATAAAGAAATTGGGAGCAGATTCGTCGTTTTGGCGTAGTAATGATGATGGTAACATTGAAAGGGAGGGAAAAGTGAAGTAGTGAGGAAAATAATCTCCAAAACATTTTTCTTAAAATAATAGCTGAAATGTAACAATAAGTAAGCTTATACTGTTTTAAGAAAGATAAACATTATTGCTGTAAATGTGTATTCTTGTTTCTAAAGTAGAAAGTTCTGATAATTGACAAAATGTATAAAATTAAAATTTACAGAACTAATTTAAACATTAATTATTAACATTTATTAACATTATTATTTAAAATTAATTAACTTTAATATTACAAAACGATAATGCAGCTGATATTTTCACTCGCTATGATAACTTTATTGTTAGATTAATACTGTTGCGTTCTACGAGTTCGTGGATTTGGAGTAACTGATGATAACGCTTGATGAATAATCAAAACACAATTTATTCGCCAATATTACACAGGACAGGTCCAAAGACACATTTACAGTCGTCGAAAAACTACGAGAAACATGCTGAAGCAATCAGCAACACAGCCTTCAGGCTATAACGGTGAAAAACAGCTTCTCGCCACAGCACCAAAATACAGCTCCCGACTCGATCGATCGCCCTCTAACTAATCTCTCAAGTCAAAACGCCACTCTTTCCATACAGGCAGGATATATATAGCTTTAACCTACCTTCGAGAATATTCTCGGGAAAACTGTTAAGAATGCGTTCTAGAATGTTCTCGCTCCGTCTATGAGATATCGCCAATTTTGTTCCTAAATATATCCAAACAGGGGATTTCGCGCCAAATCTGGCAACCCTTATTTTATCTGTAAGCTCGACGTTTAGCTATCTCCCCGCATTTCGGAACAATACGTTTACGATGTATCCAGAGCACTTTCAGTTCATTCTGAATTCATAAAGAAAACTAATCTTAAAGGAATGAAAACAAATGAAATCATATTTTCAACTCTAAATTGGATGAAAATCGTAATCACTTTTGAAAAGAGCTAAACTCTCAATCGAAAAATATAAAAATGTGACAACACTTAAAAACCAGATTTAAAAGAGATGTAGCAATGAATTTTAATGTAGTTTGTCAAGCTAGTCGGAATAAATACATCACATATATAGTAATTAAAATTAAAATCAAATGTGTACATATCAAGAAAAATCGTATCAAAACAAAAGCAAATGTACATTACGTGGACAGAATCTTATATACTCAAATAATAGATTGGTCGTATCGATGGAAATTAATACTGGTTTAATAATTACAATTATATAAAATAAATCTGTATATGAATAACAAACTTCTTGCAGATAGCACATTGGTAAACATTAAGTTTAAATTAATAGTAGTTTTCTCTGTGTCTTGTGAAATTAAACATTGGCATTTTGATTGAATTTTCCGTTCTAGGCAGAAATTCTTTTTCAGGAAAACGTTTTTGTGATTTTCTTTGCTTAAAAGCGCATACTTAATTGAGAGCCGTGTGCTCTATATCACAGTATGTATATATAGCAAATTGTTGATATGTTATTCAATTTGTTCCTGTAAAATAAATCTTGAATATTAACAAGAAAATGATGTATGTTTTATGTAAACTTGAAAATGTAAAATGTATCTATATTTTATATTTTTCATTGTTAACTTGTTTTACTTTCTTATTGGAATCCTATAATGTAAATAATAAAAGTTTTATTTCACGAGAAGTTTTCCATCATTTCAATCGTTGTATGTACTTTTGAAACCATAATTTATGTTACAGAAGAGTAGGAAGAGGCTCAAGTGAAGTTACTGACTCCAGCTCTTCCATTTTCTAATAGCTTATAAGCAAGTATTAATCTCACCAATGATAATAAAAAACATGGACTACTATCATTTCTGACACGCGGCACATGTCAGATTTACAGGAGATCTTTATTTTACTACTTTAATTACATTAATATTTAATTGTATTAATATTTTTATAAAAGGGTGTTTATGATACTAAATTATACCGTGTTGTATAAATAAAAAAGTTATTATTTTTAAAATGCTTTTGTTTCTTCACATTTTATGAGCAGATTCAGGTTGTGACTGTCACTGCAGAATATACACATAACTTCTATTGATGCAAACATTTTGTCCCTAGATGTCTTTGTTTAAATAATTATTTTTGTAACGTATCCCTGATTTAAAACTTCTAGTTTGTTCACTAATAGCTCACTAATAAAGTGCTAGACTATCAATGATGGCAGTTATTATGATTATCAATGATTATCAATTGGCTTAAATATTTCTCAAGAGCAACGTAACTAGTGCTTCCGGAATTATGATAATTTTTACAGGTCCTGACCAATTTAATTTATTAGATTTCTATTTGATAATTTGGTAACCTAAATTATCCCACTTGTTGTATAGCTATAAAACTGATAGTTAAATAAATCGACTCCAGAAAATGACCTGCTGTACCGCCTGGGATACCTTCAGGTTTTAAATCTCATTTAGTGGGAAACTGTATTTTCTTTTCTATGCGTACAACATTTTGATACTGTATATGATACAGACGTTGCAGAGGATATTTTATAGAGTTACAGAGAAGGCTACATGTTACAGAGAATTTTCTGTGAAGTTCGAAATTTTGTTACAGAATGTAACATAAATGTTACAGAAACTTACAGGAATGTTGCAAAAATATTACAGAATTATTAAAATGAATTTTTGAGTGAAATGTTTTTACAGTGCATAATACAATGTTACATAGAATATTAGCAATTAAACAAAATTATAAAAATCGCAGTTGAAAGTTACAAATTGAGAAATTATAGAATGTAATACAAATGTTACAAAGAGTTATAGACGAAAACTTCGCGAAAAAACAACGCGAGGCGAAAAGGTTGTGGGAGAAAATAAAGCAAAGAGAAAACATCGCAGTTCTAAAACATCGTGGTCGAAAATAGCGGTTCAAAAACTTCGCAGTTTAAAAACATCATCATCGAAAGTATCGCGGTAAAAATAAAGTACCTAGAAATCATCGCATAACGATAACATCGTACACGTGCGTTTTTCAAGTTTTTGAAAGTTGTAAATGTAACTGACTTTCTGTTAGTATTATGTAACTGACTTTCATTGTAACTAACAAATGGACATAAAAAATTGATTGTACGCTATGCATGAAACTGTTAACGACACTTTAAGAATAAACGGAAACAAAACAAAATATAATTTCCACTAAAGAAAATTCAGATTAACAAATGCTAAAGAAATAATTTGATAATTAACTAAGGAATGTTTAAACAAAACCTTATGCAGTTATTTATCGTCCTTTTTCTAAGCATTTTATACTGTAATCTTCACAAAAATTACCACTAAAACTTTATAAAAAAAGGTTAATTTATTACTGTTAATTAACTATGTAAATCTGAAATTCTATCAAGTTCTATAACATGCGTTAATTTTCTACTCATTTTCAATTTTTAAATGCTTAAGTTTCCTTCTTATTTTTTTAGCAAAAATTTATTAGTTTGTAGAGTTGCGCGCCTCCAACCTGCATGCAACCAAGAGGTGACTGTTGAAACTGGAAAATAGACAGAGTCTTACTAAGGGTTTAAGTCCCTTTTTATTCAACTTAAGACATTACAATTGCGTGCTCTTGACGCTCACAAACTACGCCGACCCGGCGGTAAAATAAAATAAGAAACCTGAAAAGAAATAATAAACAAGACTCTAACTACGAGGCTCTCTAAAAGTAACTAACCTCACCGCGTTTTACAATACCGCTGCTAATTCAGCAAACTTTGAATATCACGTTGAACGATTAACAATTCTCCGAGGCAAGCACACAGGCCGAAACGTGGGGTTTTTCAATTTCTGGCTAACTACCTCCGCGCTCGTGAAGTACGAACAGCACATCTCGAACTCATTTCCTTTCTATTTAACTCAGAATACTTCCGCTGATAATTTGAATCCTTGCGCGTTCTGCTAAAATTTACATACTCTGGCATTGGCAGTTCCAGGGGAAAGTAAGGCTTGACAGGAAAGATAGTTTAAACTTAAAATAAATGTTAGTTAAAATAAATATAAACCCTACAAGTTCATTTAATAATATGAAATATGGAAGTAAAAGTATCCCTCTTTCCTTCTTGCGCTCCTAAACATTATGCGAACACGCATTTACAACTTTTAAAACTTGAGAATGCGTGTGCGCGATGTCATCGTCATGCGTGAAGATTCTTTATTTCTTACCACGATACTTTCGACGACGACGATGCTTTTAAAATGCGAAGTTTTTTAACCGCTTTATTTTCGACCACGATATTTTGGATCAAAATGATGTTTTAGAATAGCGAGGTTTTCGCTTTATTTTCTCCCACGATGTTTTGCAACACGACGTTTCCACCTTGCGTTGTTTTCTCCTCGACGTTTCCGTCCGCGATATTTTTGCCGCGATGTTTTCCGCGAACATATTACAGACGCGATGTATTCGGCGGACATATTTACAGAGAATATAATAATATAATTGTTTTGGAAAGTTACGAAGATGTTACAGAAACTTACAGAAATGTGTTAGAGATATTGTAGAAAGAAGAATATTTCAAGAAAACACAAATGCACAAGCATTGAAAACAAAATTTTTTATGAGCTCAGAATTTTTATATAGTATATAATACAAATATTATAGAAAATATTAGCAATTAAACGTAATTATGAGAATTACAGATAAAAGTAAGTACAAAATTAAAAGTATTAGAATATAATATAAATGTTACAGGGAACATAATCTAAAATATTACAGTATATGATATAGATGGTGTAGAGGATATTTTACAGACATATAGAGAATGTTACATGTGTCAAAGAATTTTCTAGGAATTACAAAATATTGTTACAGGCTGTATCAGAAATGTTACAAAAACTTACAGAACTGTAGCAGAGATATTATAGAAATGTTACAAGAAAAAAAAGAATATAATATATATATTATAGAGAATATTAACACTTTAACGTAATAAAAATTACAAAAAGTTTAAGTATTTGGTGAATATTAAAATTTTTTTTCAGCTGCCCTCGCCCATTAGAAATACACAAAGTCAAAAATATAAACACATACTTTTACATTTGGCAATGTCCTAAAGATAGAGATAAAATAAATGCTGGTTGACTGCACAATTTGCTTTACCGTACAATTATTTTAACTATTACACAGTGATTAACAATATGTGGAACAAAATTACTTAAATTAAGCCAAGTAAAGAAGAAAAAAGCAAATTACGATATTAAATATTATATTATCATCAAAACGTAGATTAAAATCTAAATTTTAAATAACATTTATCTATTTTTAAGTCTTTATTATTATTATTTTCTCATTAAAATCTATTGCCTTGTATTAAATCGTTGCAAACAGCAAAATTAATTTAAGATATCATGAAAAACCAAATTTAATTTTTCTTAAATAATTCAGAAACAAAGCTTTGCAATTAATTAAAATCCAGCAAGAAAATGAAATGCTGGTTAGCTACACATTTTTTTTTTCACAGTGTTTTTCATTATTTCCAATTATTGTTTATTACAATATGATAATTAAATACCTTCAACCTCAGAACTCTCATCAGAACACCGAAACTCAAGAGAGCAGAGATACGAAATCGAATCGAAATCAATCAACCTCAATCAGCCAGAATTATATTCAGTTACAACGAAATCATATTGCGTCAGCAACTTCTAATTTTCCTGATGGCTGTTTCCCATTATCGTATAGAATAAGTTGTACTTAATGGACTGAACTTAGTAGAGGCGAATTAACTTGAACACAGTGAAACCAGGATAATAATTTAAACATTAAACTATATTCTTGACAGCTGAAGTTTTATCTCATGAATTTCTTTTTTAATATAACTCATAGTTATACCCGAAAACAGACAGACCAGTTTAATTTTTGTTCCTTCTGTAAAGCAGTATAAAATTATGTTAAAACTTTGTAATAGATGAGTCTGCTGACAATACTTTGAGTAAAAATTGGATTTCAGATCTTTTTGTGTTTCTTCAAAAATATCCGAAGAAAGTTAATTTTAGCATATTTATTCAACCATTTCATTGTTATATAAAAGTAATCTAAAAACATTTCAAGGCTAATATTTGTTACTTATGAATGTCAGTAAATAAATTCTAGGGTATTTCTCCCGCCTTCTTAGCATGCCTTCGTAGCATGGCGGTCTGCACGCTCGGCGCGTATTCAACAGGTTCGTGGTTCGATTCCCGAAGAAGATGTTGCTCATTTTTCCCTTTCCCTGCTTCCAAAAAATGCCTAATGTCTAAACAGTGGCGCTCGCCCTTTAAAAGGGGAGTATATAAGGTATTTCTCCCGCCTTCTTAGCGTGCCTTCGTTGTGAGGTGGTCTGCACGCTGGACGCCTATTCCAGAAGACCGTGGCTCGATTCCCGGCGAAGGCGTTGCTCATTTTTCATCACTCCTGCTTCAAAAAACCTAATGTCTCCACAGTGGCGCCCGAACTAAAAGAGTGATGGATGATGATTCTCCACACCCAGGATTTGGTGATCCCCTAAAACCCCAGTCGCGCTTTAAAAGGCGTAGTATATAGGGTGTTTCTCACGCCTTCTTAGCATGCCTTCGTAGTGTAGTGGTCTGCACGCTGGGCGCGTATTCCAGAGGTCCATGGTTCGATTCCCGGCGAAGACGTTGCTTATTTTTCATCACGCCTGCTTTAAAATAACCTAATGTCTCTACAAAATGATAACACAGTTATAAAAAATAATTTTTAATATTTATTTTTCGATTTAATTCTCAAAGGAGTAGTTTATAAATGTCTAGATAAACTTATTTCACAATGATGATGAAGCTCAGAAACTGATTTTTGGCTTAACGTTCCTTGTTCATATTATTTTCGCTGTACATATGAGGCTAGAATGTTGAGCTATAATTTATAAAGTTTGACTGGTTTGGGTAGCATAAACTCGTATCAGATTCCTAACAGACGTTAAGCGAATCAACGTTATGTCTGGAAAGAAGTCCTAAGAAGCTTTTA